TTTTTTTTTCTTTTTTTCTGAATTAGTGTCTAATCCGGAGATACTGTAATGAATCACTGCCAGGTTTTCTTTGAATTGTATTTTGAAAACTATGTCTTATCCTTTGAAAGTGCGAGGCTATGAGTGAGGGAGCTACTTGCTCAGAGTTTGGACTATTCGTTTTGGAGTTCTTATGATGTCTTTTTCTCATTTTTACTGCAGCTTTCTTTTCTGGAAGCAGTCAGGATAATTCGTCAAACAGCATTTGTAGAGGTTCAGAGAGCCTTAAGCAAAAGCTATTTCCATTTCCCACTGCTACTGTGGTTTTCATTAGTTGAGAAGGATTTTGTAACCATGCAGTAAAACTGTCGCAGCTGCCCACTAGATGTCTCAAGTATTATCACTGAAAGCAGGGAGGATTTTAAATCAGCAATTTTTTGGTTAGTATTTATTATTTGTAAAGCTAGAAAGCTATTTGTAGTGTATTTTTTGTTGCATTTTAAGAGCAGAGTTGGTCTGCTACTGATTCAGTGTTGCAGCTTTTTTCTTCTTGTCTGTGTGATCGCTGTTGCTGCGTACAGGTCAGTACTAGCCAACAAACTGAAGTACGAGGGCCGCCCGACTGTGTCTCAGTAGCCTGTTCCACCTTCTTGCATTTCTTCAAAACATGTGGGTAGCTATAAAGCAGGTCTTCTTCAAGCATATGCTTAGCCAAAGATCTCAGCCACTGTTAGATGAAGTCAGTAAGARTTTGATGCCTCTTTGGAGGCTCGAATAATGGTTGATATAATTCAAGGAGTGAAGCGTTTCTTACCTCAGCCCTTTCCTTTGGGATAACAGCAGGGAACTGGAGCAAGGAGAGCTGTGTTCTGCCCTGGTGGGGGCTCAGTGTTTGCCAGGTCCTGCTCCCATGGGGAATATTGGGGTGAGCAGGGCAGTTGGAAAGGCTGGGACAGCAGGGCCCATCCACCGGCGCCGCAGTTGCATCTCTGTGTCAGTTAAATTGGCATCACACACAGGCCTGCACTTAACCTGTGTCGGTAGGATTATCTGAAATTTGACCATGCATCTGGGGTTGTAATGGAGTAAATCTGTCCCTAGAAGCCGGCAGGTGCTCAGTAATTGTTGGTGGGACTTCAGTCATTATCCTCCAGCTCCAAAAAAATAGTTTGGAGAAAGCAGTAATTAATGTAGTTCTAACCAACAGAGCAGCATGACTGGTATGTTTGGTTTGATATTGGAATTTTAGTTTGAAAGTGGAAAACACATGCTTTAATTATAGGGTATTAATGAAACCAAAGAGCATTGTAGCTTTGTGCCAGGGTGTGAAATAATTCAGATTTTTTAAAAATCAATTGAATAGATGTTTCTTTTGATTTTTAGAAATTGCATTTTTATTGAGGGTAACAGGATAAACTACTAATAGAAGTGCATTTAATATGTCTGCAGTCTGACGGGCTTGGGGGAAATGTAGTCAGTTTGGAGCTTGCATTCAAGCAAAATGAATGGGGAAATCAGATTTTTAAAAATTGTAAAAGCTTAAGGCCCCATCAGCAATGAGTACTCAAGTAGGTTCATGTTTGGTATATTATATGGCTTGGCTTCTGCCATCTGCATGGTAACACAACATGTCCAAGTCAGTAAAATGTCCCTGTGCTGGGGTGGGAGGTTTTCGCCTCCAGCCTTGTGTGCTGGGCAGCAGGGCATGGGCTTGGTGTAGCTGCCATACAGATYGTGGAGCCTGGCTTTGGGCAGGCAGAAAGCTCAGGCCGTAGCCTTCGCACACCTTAAAGATGAAGCCACAATAAAGGAATGAATCATACCAGAATCGGAAGGAAAAAATGAAGAATTTAGACTTTGTCAGTCCTCATTTGCAGGGGAAGATCTTTCACTTTTAGTCTCTGTGTTTTATCTGCTAATATAAGTAGATACCGATATCTGGCTCAGCACTTCCTTCCCGTTATCTACTTCCTTTGCAGAAAGAGATTTTGCTTGCCATTGAAAATGATGAACTGGAATGCATGTAGCTGCAAACAGAATTACCTTGACTGTGTTTATTTTATTTATTTTTCTCATAATGAGCTCCAACTCTATTAAATTTGCCTTAATAAAACTCAGCAGAATAAGTAGCCATGCAGTAATGACCGCAATGTGTCCTTAGCCTGCAAGTCTCTACAGAGCAGGCAGCCCAGCGTTTTTAGGCTGTGCTTAACCTGGTGGACTGGGACAGCTTCAGTCAAGCTGACCTGCTTGCATCATCCTGTGTTGTGCATCCTAGACCTCATGCACACTTTCTCATTGCCACATTTTTGTTTTTAAATAAATAATTTAGTGTCTGTAATAGAGCTCTGATTTTTTTGAAGCATACCTCTGTGGACAGCAGGCAAGTTGACGAGTAACAGTCCCCATCAAGCACATTGTAACTTGCATAGTGTTGTTTCACGTGATTTATTCAGTCAGTGATTAGATGCACGTGACTTTCTTGTTCACATTTCTTTAATAGTGTTAATCCTCGTCTCCTTTTGTAATCTGTCTGGCAGAATTTGGGAGCGAGGATTTAGTCTACTCTGCCATGGCCTTTCTGGCAGATAGATAAGTAAAACAATGTAGATGGGCTCCTCCTGTTTTATTACCTCTTTGGCTAACGCTTGAAAATACATTTCAGTATATACCATTGCCTCTACCTGAATGGATTTAATCCCTTACAAGGGCCCATTCCGAACACGTCCAGCTGCTTCATTGTCCTGCGTGTGCAGCAAGGCTCRGGGCATTGTCCAGCAGCAGTGAACCTAGCAGGACTGCAGAGGTTTTCATGAGCCTCAGGGACTAAAGACAGAGCTTCTGACAAAACTTTTTTGAAGATTGGAGGATTTTATGTAAGTCTCCTTCAAAATAATTCTTTTTTTACCAGCGAAAAAGAATTTAGGAAAAATTGAGATACGGTTTAGGAAATACCTAAGATAAAATATTTCTTCTGAGATCAGRTTGACTCTAACTGAAACTTTTCCTTAGCAGACTTAACCAGTGTGTTTTTCATCTGTTTGTCCTTTACAAGTATCTGTTTGAGATGTCGTTGCTTGTTGTGGGAATTTTAGGTCAAGTGACACCTCTTTTCATTTGCTGCTCTTGGCTAAGCTGCTCATTCCTTGATGCCTCAGCACCCGCTGGCTGAATCATGGCCACGATTATGGACACATCAGCACGGTGTGTCGTAAAAGATAGAATTCAGCTGGGGAGAGGCTGTAATCCAGCTATCCCATAGAAGGGAAGAGCGTCGTTGTTTTCTTGATCTGGCACCATTGCAGGCAGTCGTGTACAGACAGGTGGTGAGCTGGAGTCACTGAATTTCACTGGCACTAGTCTGATCAGAAGTCTTTTGTTTTGACATTCTGTCTTGCAGAACTGAAATATTTCTTCAAGTTCATTTATTTTTTTACAARTTTTGGAAGAAAAAGTAGAAATAATAGAAACCTCTGTGAGTTAGGAAATCAGGACATCTGCTCTTTAAAATATCTGGTTGCAAATATTAAAAAACTCATCTGTCTTTTCCTGGAGGATAACAGAACTGAGGAGAAAACCTATTTATTCCCATACTAGAATTAGCTCAGAAACTTTTTTGGGGGGAGGGAAGGAGGTGAAAGAATCACTCTTCCGAGATCGGTGTTAAGTCCCTGTTGCTAGAATTAGCAAGTCAAGTTATTAATGGCATTTCTAAAAGCAGGCTGTTTGGCTTAGCAGCTCTTGGGATGACTGCTGTGAATGAAACGCCTGGCTACGTAGGGGGAAGAGAAGGTGACGATTTGGAACAGAACACACTGGTTTTTGTGTAGGGATCAGTCAAAAGCAAGTGTTTTGCAAAAGGCTGTAGTTCTCAGCAGGTCAGATTGTGGATTTTTGAAGAATGTATTTATATAAAATCAGTGAAAACTCATTTTCTCTCCCAACACACTTTTGTCTTTCAACAATGTGTTTTTTCATAATAGATAATACTAATTTCCACTCATATGAAATTGACCTCAAGTAATAGTTTGCTTAATAGTGGAAATCCATGTATTAAGCTTACGTGATCAAGCTGGTGTTTGTTAGGTATGAACAAAAGCAAGTTCTGCTCTTGCTAAGTTTGTAAGCGCGTTTCGRGAGGCTGCAGGGGAAGCCCTGGGGAGCAGCTCACAGCAAAGCCCCGTTCCCGAGGCAGTCGCTGCGGCTGAAGCCTTAAAGAGAGCCCGAGTCCTCCCTGGCACCTCCTGGCGCGGCGGGGCCCACAGCTCTGCCCTGCAGCGGTGCCCTTTGCTGGGGCTGGCAGCGTGGAGCGGCCCCGCTGCCCTTGGTGYGTGTCCTGCGGGCGCCTTCCTGCAGCTCCGCCACGCCTTCGTGTTGCCTTGCCCGCTGCACGCCGTGCTGCACGGCCCTGATGCCAGCTAGTGACCTTCCTAGYGGCCTGCGCTTTGCAGGGATGTGACAGCTGGGAAAAGGGACCCAGGYTTCTGTTTTCCTGAAAACCCTTGTTTAGCCAATGACTGTTTCTCTGGGTGATCTTGTAATGCTGAGAGGGGAGAGAAAAACGTGCTTTATTCAGGACTTAAAATATGAATCTGCACATCTGCTGGAGCAGAGGGTTGCTCCTGGCAATGCCTGGAAGGGGGAACAAAGCTGCCTGTGGGAATGGCCCCTCTTTGTGAGTTTGCTGGAGGGCAAACCCTGCAGCTGCGGGATGGGCTCTTTGGGCAGGGGAGCAGAGGGGAAGCAGAGACTGCCCGAAGTCAGCATCAGTTCAGGGATCTGATGTTTGAGGTGTGTGCCCCTCTAGTGCTGCTTTAGTGAAGGCAGTTTTTGGAGGAGAAAGTTCATTTATTTTGCTTATAAAGAGGARTAGCAGCATGATGTGCTATTTATCTTGCTTCAAATGCTTGCCTGTCAAACCTTGAGCAATATGATCAGAATGCCCTCTGATTTTGTTGTTGTTGTCTTCTGTTTTCAATCACTTTTGCAAGTCTTTTAAAATTATTTTCCTTTCCCAACAGATTGCTGGTTGGAGCCCCTCGAGAAAAGGCTTTTCCGTCCCAACAAGCCAACAGAACAGGAGGGCTGTACAGCTGCGACATTGCGTCTGCRAGCTCACGCTGTACACGGGTCGTGTTTGATGAAGACAGTAAGTCTTTTCCACTGGTTTTGTTTTGGGTTCAAACAGGTGTCTAGTTTGCTCATCTGGTGTGGTCCTTCACACACTAAATATATCACACAGTTACTTTTATGAATTCATACAAAACTTTTTTTTTTTTTTTTTTTTCATTGCAACAAATTGTCATTGAATTGCTAAGGTATCAGGAGATGCTGGAAGCTTGGTAGATTTGAATGCTTCTACATTATTTAATAAACTAATGATGTGATACAAAATAACATGCTAGAAATGTTTTATAAAAGGGATCTTGGCAGTCATAAAGTATGTAGACACTGCCACCTACAGACTGCTTTGTGTATGGTGTGAACTGTTTGTGTGTGCTGTTCTCACAGAGACTTAATAAATAAATAAATAAAAGTTAACTGTTGATATTGAAGCTGAATTGTGACATTCTGCAGCTGATCCAAGGATGGAGAGTAAAGAAGATCAATGGATGGGGGTAACTGTCCAGAGTCAGGGGCCGGGAGGAAACGTGGTGGTAAGTCTGTAGGACTAACTTACAACAATATTTTGAACTCACGGTAAATGTTCTGAATGTTCCTTGTTTCTATGCAGCTTTCTAAAAGCTAGCTGCCTTTTTCAGGATGGATTGCAGTTTCTTATAGTCACAGGCTGAGATGTTTCCCTAGCAAAATGGGACACCTGAGATTATRAATTTTAAAATACTTTTCTAAATCTGACTTAGCCTGTCTTTATAATCTTGGTATCAGTCTAGAATGTGCAGTTATTTTCTTAGTATATGCATTTATTTGTTTATTTTTAAGTATGATTTTCTACAAAGACAGTGAAAAATAATAAGGTTTCTAAAAGTGTCAGACTGACAAGAGCCTGTTGTCTGAGAAGATCCCCCTCACTTTGACTTTCACCCCAGACTTTGACTGAATTGGTTCTGTGCAGTAATGTAATCTGACTGTTTCATTGGGAGGAAAAGCACGATACAATAAGACCTTGTACTAAGAACTTGATGCAAGTTGTTATTTCATACCATATGGAGAGAAGCAGCTTTGAGGAGTTACCAGAGAACGTTAGCTGGTAACTAGTTAGTTAGTTATCCATCTCTTAGGTTAAGAGCTCCTGCTGAATTAAGTTTGSCTCTCATGGTGTCGCAGGATGCCAGCTTTATCCTGACAAGGGTGTGCAGTGGAGCTTTCCCTTGTAGTTGTATTCTTGCAGGTTATCCCTTTGAAGCTCCCTGCTTCCAGAGCTGGATGCAGGTTGCTTCAGGGTGTCTCTGGAGTTACTTCAGGATAGCAGAGGCAGTAATGACTTGCTCCAGTCTGTCAAAGCTCACAGGGAGAGTGGAGAAAGGGCAGACAGAAAGAACCCTGACATCCAGAAAATTAATTGCTGTGAAATGTACCCATAGATGCCTAACTATTCCTATATATATCCCATGGGGTATACAAGACTCTGCATTACACCACAGATATGTCCACAGGGAGACGTAGTGTATTGCCAGCACAAAGCATTGTTTCGGGAGACCCGCCGCCGCTCTGCTGGCTTGCGTGCAGCCTCCAGCAAGCCTCCCTGACGTCCCCTCTGCCTTGCAGACCTGCGCCCATCGCTATGAGAAAAGGCAGTACGTAAACACGGTGCAGGAGACCCGGGACATCATCGGGAGGTGCTATGTGCTGAGCCAGGACCTCACCATCAAGGACGACATGGACAACGGGGTGTGGAGTTTCTGTGATGGCCGCCTACGAGGCCACGAGAAGTTTGGCTCCTGCCAGCAGGGCGTTGCTGCTACTTTTACCAAGGACTATCATTATATTGTGTTCGGGGCCCCAGGCACTTACAACTGGAAAGGTAGGACCTGTCTGCCATCCTGCCAACCTGTACACCTGCATATCCTGCATTTGTCTCAAATGTTTTTTAGGGGAATAAAGCTTTTTTAAAAAGTTTTGGGGGAATAAACATAATGGAGACCTAATGAGGAATATTTTACCCTATTTTCACAACATGCTATGCTCTTATATCACAAATATTTAGTTAAATTCTCTTAAATATTTTTGGGGGACTACTTATGAATGGTTAACAGGACTTTGCACACATCTATGTATTTTTTTCTTATATTAGGCTTAATTTCATGTATTTGTTCTGAGACTTTTACCCTGGAACAAGTTATTATTATTCTAAATTTATTTGAACTAATTTAAACTACATAAAAAAAACCTAAGTTTATTTTTATTATCATTTGAGCAAATGTTAAACACTTGCACTGACATCTTTGTTTATCTTATAATAGTCTCTTGAGAAATGTGTGGAAAGTAGTATTTCCAAATCCAATACTGGAGGATTTAAAGAAGATAACTGAATTTAATTAATTAATTAAAAAAAMCCCCCTTTTTTCCTTGAGTAAAATTCCATGAATAGTTCATATCAGTAAAAGCCACAAGGACTCTCACAAGATTTTTTTTTTTCTTCACTGGTTTATCCCAGCGAAAAGGCAGCTAAATGGCCAGGCCTGTCTCTCTCTTCTTTAGAGTGATTTTGTTTCCCTTTGCACTTCATTACACCAACAACTGTAAATACTTCTCTCCTTCTCTTTAGAACATCTGATCCTTGACCCGTTAACATTTTTTTTTTCCTTTGCAAACCTACATCTGCCATATGAACCATGCAAAATCTTTAAGTTAAGCTCTGGTACAAGGTGTATTTTTGTGAAAACTTAATCTTCCACATCCCTGTTTCTGTCAACAAAATCTGACCAAGCTGAAACAGCATATTGAGTTGGGAGTTCCTGCTTTACCTTAATTGCAGAGAGCTGCTATGTCAGTGTATCAGTCGTAAGAGCACTCTGTCATATCATGGGCAAGCATGTTTGTGCTCACCAAATTGTTAAATATGCCTGTCAATAAAAGGGAAGCACCCACTATATTGAGCTATCACTCTTTTGCCCTTAGGTAATGTTTTCAAAAATACATCACAAGTGTTTGTCCTAATTGAACAGCTATTATATGATTTCCTTTTTTGTAATCTTAGGCATTTACCTCCCTTTTAACTTAGGCTGTATGAGATGAAGGTGTGTGGAGGAGGGTGATTCATGACCAAGCGTGTTTGTGCTTTTGAGAATTTTGCTCATATCCCATATTTTTCCACCTGTTGCATGGTGTCTGTCTAAAATATAATGAGATTCTGGCATATAGCTAGAACTTAAAAATTCATTATCTTTTCAAAATTGTTTCTTCCTGTTTGCTAGTCTACATTTGTCTCCATTTAAGTAGTGTTGCTATCTCATTAATCGTGACATTAGCCAGGAACCATTTATCTATTTTATTTTCCTTGCCATTCATTTGTTTTTATTTTATCATTTCATTTCTTTAGGGGTGGTTCGTGCAGAACAAAAGAATCAGACATTTTATGATCTGGGTATCTTTGATGATGGCCCTTATGAAGTTGGTGATGAGAGCCGCCAAGATAAGAATCTAGTTCCTGTTCCAGCTAACAGTTATTTAGGTAGGATTAAGCACATATGGTAAATCTCTATAGGCTTCTTACACATCTGTGATCTCAGTSTGGTGCAATAATATGAAATGGGAGTAAAAAGTGTTTCGTTTATGAACCCTGCAAAATGTTACCTATTCTGGGCTGTTCACATCCTACGTCCCATTTATGGGCCAGTGTGAGTTGGTGAGAGCTGCTAATGTTAATGAGACAATCAGGAGCTGTGGTCAGCACCCAGGCATCCCCAGGGAGTGGGTGCAGGGGCTCCAATGGTAAGTTCTGTCCTCAGGGCCAAGGCCCCTGCCATGCGGTATCGCCCCATCTGCATTGCCGGCTGTTCAGAGCGCAGTTTCTCTTTCCCGCTAGGTGAGTGCAAGCTTTCCTCTTCTAGGGTTTTTAAAACATCAGTAGCCTCTTTACAGGCTGTCTTAAATCACATGCAATGTTTGGATTTAAATGTCTTTTAAAATATTGCAATGCGAGCAGTGTTTATGTTGTAAGGTTGAGTGCACGTGTGTGCTGAGTGAGGAGAGTCTCTTGGGCTTTCTGCAAACACGAAGGCAGGGTGTCCTTAGCCTAGTGGCCATTACTGTAGGTCAGCAAGATGAGGAAGCTGGTGCAGAGCAAAAGCTTCGCTGTGTTTTTAAGAAGACCCAGAGTGCCAAGTGGTCGCATGTTCCTGCTCTAGTGCCGACTGCTGTGGTATATCGATCCAGTGCATCAACAGGCATCTGCAGCAAATAGTTTGTTGGTGATTTAAAACTGGAATYTAGATGTTAGTGATGGAAAGTTGAACAGATGGGAAGGGCATTGCTAATATTAAAGAAAAAAAGCAGTCTCAAAAGAGAGCCAGCTAGGTATTTGTTAGAAGAAASAGAGCATAAACAGCAGTTAAATGTAAGTAGCAATTACTAGCAAGAGAAAGGATAGAAACATGCTAATGAAGAAAAATTCATTAGCATGAAGAGAGAAGAAAAATGATAGAAACTAAGTTGCAACACAGGAAKTTCAATCTCAATGTGAGGAAGAACTTATTTACTGTGAGGGACACAGAGCCCTGRAACAGTCTGCCCAGGGAGGTTGTGGAGTCTCCTTCTCTAGAGGTCTTCCAAACCCACCTGGATGCTGCCCTGTGCCTCCCTGCTCGAGCAGGGAGGTTGGACTAGATGATCTCTAGAGGTCCCTTCCAACCKTAACCCTTCTGTGAATATGTTAACAAGCTCCTAGCCTTTTCTAGTGAAACAGTAGGGAGAAGAGTGCTGTGGAAGGAGTTGTCTTTGCTGTGAACAGAGCAGGACTATATTTACATTGCAATCTCAATAAATGTAGTGTTTATTTTAAAATAGTTAGAGTCTCCTAAACATGGAGGCCCCTGTTGAATTTATTAGAGTCTAAACAACTGTGCAAGCTGGGTGTCCGCTGCCGTGGCTGCTACCCATGGTCAGGCAGGCAGGATGCGCACAGCTCGTTACTGTGCTGAACTGCAATTTCTTTTGTTCTTTAATGTCTCACTCATGTGTTTACAGGTCTTCTCTTTCTGACAGCTGTGTCTGATACTCACCCAGACCAGTTTGTGTACAAAACCTTGCCTCCCCACGTACAGGTGGCCAGGCCGGTGGACGTAGCGATGAATAGCTACCTAGGTTTGTGGGCAGCTCTGCTCAGGCATCAGCGCCAGACCTCGGACATGACATTTCCCCCGCCCTTCTTTCCAAACTCCTTGCAAGTAAAAGCATGTCACAACAGGGCTTCAGAGGAAGAGTAACTTGCAACTTCAGATGCGTTTGGAAAAGCACTGATTTGTGATGCATCTCTCCAACCCTCTCCTCCTGCCCCCAAATTGGAGTTCTTACTGAATTCTTACTGAATTTTTCTGAAACTCTGTTTCATTGTGCACTGCTGTAATTGAGAATTGGAATGGTAGTGGTGAAATGTTTCAGAAGGGAGATTACTTCCTTACACTACACATATTTTCTTACTTTGGGTTTTATTGGATATGTTAGTTTACACCATATTTACTTCTAATGCTTACTTCTAACTTACTGTTTCAAGGATTTTTTTATTCTATTAACTTTTATAAAGAATACTTAATAAATTCATTTGAACTTTCTTTAAAGGTACATTAAATAAAATCAATTTCACCATTACTGTATAAGATGATTCTCAAATACTGTCTACGTCATCGACATAAAATACAATGCTTGTACAGTATGTTTTGCATGCTTAATAGAATGCCATTCAACAAAGTCTTACCATTTGTCAGGGAAGTACTCAAGCTATATTGAAATGGTAACCTTAGGCATTTGCAAGCATTTTTAAAAAAAGTAAAAATCTGGTATTTGGTGTCTGCAAMAGATAGAGCTGAGTGAGCAGGAAACTGGTACCAATATAATTGGTGTGGAAAATATTTATATGTATCAGTGCAGGCTTGCTTGGGACAAAACTTGGATCCAATAAACCACTTCAATATAGTAGGGGAATTTATTTTTGTTGATAACAGTACAAGCCTTTATTTACATTTYTTTTTCTTTTCTGAAGGTTTCTCTTTGGACTCTGGTAAAGGAATTGTCTCCCAAGATGAGATGACTTTYGTGTCTGGCGCGCCCAGAGCCAACCACAGTGGGGCAGTCGTTCTCCTGAAAAAAGAGAAGAATCAGAGAGCCCTTTCCCTGGAGCACATGTTTGAGGGAGAAGGGCTGGCCTCTTCCTTCGGTTATGACGTTGCTGTTGTGGACCTCAACAGTGATGGGTATGGCCCTCGGTTCGCTCGGGCTGCCTCTGCAAAGAAAGATTGCTTTGGCTTGCACATTAGAAACACATTTTGCATTAGAAACACATGGAGGGTCAAGTCCTGCCTCCCTTATCTTGCTGGAGGAAAAGGTGAACATCTTGGAGAACGGATTCTCTCTCCAGGAAACCCTCCATTTTACTGCAAGGGTTATTGATTTACTTCAGAGATCTTAGATGCAAAATGCCTATAAACAATTAGTATTGAGAGGGTTTTTTTAGCTTAAAAAGTTGGTATAAACAAAGCATTGAGAAACAAATTTTATACCCAAAAAAAACCCAAGAAGATTCTTAAATGTCCCAAAGAGAGAATAATCAGTTTCTGATGCCAGTGGAGCTGTTGTTAGCTCCTGTGACCAAGTCAGCCGTAGGTCTTTTTTAATGACCCTTAGCAGCTGTTTGGCTCATTGACCTTGAGCCTGTAGTTGTTATCAAGTATTTTCAGTCACAATTCTGTACCAACAAGTGTTTCTTTTCTTTCATTTTAAGGTGGCAAGACATTGTTGTTGGAGCCCCACAGTATTTTGACAGAAGTGGCGATATTGGTGGTGCTGTGTATATTTACATGAACCAGCAAGGCAAATGGGAAGGGGTAAAACCTATTCGCTTAAATGGAACCACTGACTCGATGTTCGGTCTTGCAGTTGAAAATGTTGGGGACGTTAATCAGGATGGCTTTCCAGGTGAGTGCAGAACAATTACAGTGGGAATGTATGTGGCATTTTTGCTAACGGCAGACTTGGAACGTATTAATTATCAACACTGAAAGCTGAAAAAAGAGAATTCTTTTAGACACCTCCATTTATTTTCAACAGATATTGCAGTAGGGGCTCCATATGATGGTTTTGGCAAAGTTTACATATATCATGGATCCAAGAACGGAATAAATACAAAACCAGCACAGGTAAATAACCAACCTTTACTGTAGTCTTGATACTCTAATACACTGTAGGCAGGGTGGGATTATCCTTCCTGGCGTTTTCCGTTGCAGTTAGTGGCATGAGGGGTGTGCAGAAGAGTTAGGGGCCTCGGGTCCGAGCGCACTGCTGGCCTCGGGGATTGGGGACGGGGCGTTTTAACGTGCGGCCCCTTCGCGGCGCTCGTGCGCGGAGAGGCCAGCGGGCCGGGGGACGTGCGGCCCTGGCCCCGCGCGCGCGAAAAGAAAGGGGCTTTTTTTCCTAGAAGACCGTTCCGGTTAGCTGGCAAGTGTGGAAGGAATTAATCACTTGCTTCTCCCGTTTGAAGTGCCTGTGCTATATAAATCCTATAAATAAAGATAAGCTAGGCAAAAGATAGACACAAACTACTAATTTCTGGCTCATCRCTATTGTAAAGTAAGTTTTTAGAAGGAAAGAAAATGATGGTGGCATTTCAGAGTCATTTACCTGAATGCATAAAACAGTGATGATCACTTGCAAGTATTTCACTATTACAGCTTTTGGATGTCCTAATCCCAACAATCTGTTTGTTCTTTAGATTCTTGATGGTGAAAAAACCGGCACCAATTTCTTTGGTTATTCTATTGCTGGAAACATGGACCTGGATAAAAATTCCTACCCTGATATTGCTGTTGGTTCTCTCTCAGATTCTGTATCTGTGTTCAGGTATATTTTTGTAGGACTGTAACTAATCGCACCAATATGTTATTTTCATCACTTTTAAAAACAAACTGCTTGGCAATGACAAAAGAGCTGTTTGCCTGGAATATATTTCCTTACAAAGGTTAAAAATAATGGGAGAAAAGCACCCATGGATTGTTCTGAGCTAGAGCTTTTGTTTGTTGCTATTCCATAAATTTACTTCCACTTTGTGGAAGAAAAACAGAGGCTGCTGTTCTTAGCTGAGGATCCAGCAAGGTCCATAAAGCAGCCCCGAGGGAGCCCTGCAGACTCCTCAGCATGTGCCTTAGTTAGGGATGAACCAGGATGAAGCTGTGGACTTTTTTTACCAGTAGTAATTGAAAGGAGCATTAGCTGTTTGCTGCTAAGGACAGTACAAAAGCCTCTAAAAGAAAATGAGAACGCAAAGCTTTTTGTTGATGAACTGTAAAAGGATGACCTGCTAAAAGAAATCTGCTTAGAAAAAAAGGATGAGGTTTAAAAACAACCCTTAGGTACTTGTGTAAGAGCAGCATCAGCTAATTCATTCATATCATCTGTCTTTCCTGGTCCCTTCCGAAAGGGAGAGGAAAAGCAGCGTTGGGAGGCTGCGGTTTGAGGGACACTTGGGTGCAGAGAGGAGCCAGGAAACGGAAGCGCGGCTTTCCCCAGGCGGCCGGCCGAGCGCCCAGCGTGTCCACAGGCTGCTCCCGGCCTGAACCACGGCTCCTGTGGGCTCGAGTTCTTGGGTTTTCATGTCTGTGGTGCCTGGAATGACACCCACAACATTGTGTTAATGTCCTCCATTCCTCTGGCAGGCAGGAATATGCCAATTGTATAGCTGTTTTTTGTGACTTGCTTTGCATAACTTTAAATAGCTGGGTTTGGCTGCTAGCTGTTTGCAGGGCTGCTCCTTGCATTTCTGAACTGCAACAAATGCCCTCAAGGCAAGTTGGTGCAGGTATAAATGACAAAAAGAATTATTTCATTAATCTTAACAGAGACTTTTCTTTCATTTTTACCTGTTGGCTCCCCTCCCTCAGATCTCGGCCTGTTATAAGCATTAAGAAAAGCATTACAGTAAATCCTGACAGAATTGATCTAAAGAAGAAGACCTCTGAGGAACCTAGTGAAATACAGTAAGATTTTTAAAAAATATTACCATTGTATCATAAGAGTTGGTGGCATTAAGCTTTGTTTTCAAAATTTGCTCCATCAGTGCTGATGCTATTGTGAGTGGACATGAGTCAAGCAGATTAAACAGATATACCCATGTTATCATTTTGACCTTTTAAATGCACTGTGACAAATGTGCTAGTTATCTATATGGTGGAATATATTTTATTCACACTGTCCAATTTGAAAATGAATGTCACTGTTTGCCACTTAAATGAACTTACTCTCTGACCTCTAAAATTTTAACATTCACAGTGTCTTAACTTGAATGGCTTTCTGATCAAAGTAGAAAAGTAAGAGCAAATAAAAGAAAATATTTTTTTCTAATTGTAGACTAAATTTTTTCCTTGTTTTGCAATTCAGATTAGGAGGTAGCAAAAGACTGTTGTAACATGAGCACCACAGGGTTAAGACTGCTAACGTCAGTGGACTATGAAATGTTTTCAGTCACTTGGGCCTTGCTTAACTCTAAGTTTTTGACACTTTTTACAGGATGGATGTGAGAGCCTGTTTTCAATATACTGCAAATCCTAGAAATTTAAATCCAGGAATAAGTAAGTTTTGAGATTAATATTTTTCATCTATTTGTCAAATACTTTTTAGAGATGATCGTGGAACTGTACTTGAATTACAGTGACTTCTTTAAACTCTGTCACATTTAAAATCAGCTATTGCAGTGTCTGTCTTTATAGAAAAGTAAAGGGTCATGTAAATAAATTCTAGTATGTGACTAAGCTCAGTTCTGTGGGTAGAAAAATCAGAAGCTTTCATTCAAAACTGAAGCTTTCTAGGTATATTTACCAGTCAACAAATGGCTACCACAGAGAGAGAATCATTTTACACTCTCCATGTCAGTGCTGCTTTAGAAAATAGTTCTAAAAATATCTTCATATGCTATTAATAAACATTATTTCCTTATGGGAGTCTTATGGGAGCCAGTGTTCTGTACTCATCATAATAGCCTTGTAGAAATTTGCAACTGAAATCAGAACTCTTTCTCTTGGTAGATGCCTAGAAGCCTGTACTAGGAATGCATTGAAAAATGTGAAGGACCATTTTTAATGTCATCTGTTTTTTTCTCTTAAGTTGTCAGTGTGCTAATTAGTTGCTGCTAGTGCAGATCAGAATGCTCTGTAGGATCCTCTGTCTCCTGGGTAGTTCCTTGGGTTCTTGCAAAAGCCGCAGGACGCGCGAGGGCCGGGYTGTGTCCCGGCGCCGCTGCGGCACTTGCAGCTCCGGAGGCAGCGGCCGCTCGGGGCGGCCCCAGCGCAGCCGGCCGGGCGCGGCGCTGCGCCCCGAGGGACCTGGAGCCTCGCGCAGCCCGGCCGGGGCTCCGCGGCTCTGCGGGGCTGCGCGTCTCGCTGCGCGAGGTCGCAGCGCCCCTGCAACTCAAAACCCCGCGAGCTGCTTAGGAAGGAATGGGAACAAAACAGGAATCGGGGATATCTGGGCCAGAGTATTTGCCAAGTTTGCATCTCAGCCCTCTGCTGACCTCCTGCTGCTGGTCCTGGATGCCGGCACAGGAATGAGATAGGTTGGGATAAAGGAGGATTTGTTTCAGGAGCCCCCTCAGCAGGAATGTGTGAGGAATCGGATCCTCAGCCGGAAAGGGACAAAACTGGTTGATGAAGAAGGCTTTATAAATTACTGAAAACAGTTTTAAAACTGGATGAAACAGTCTTCTAGGATAATAYTGCAACATCATACCTGGAAAAATTATTTATTTATTAACATGGCATGGTTAATTTATTTATTAACACTATTATTATTATAGTGACATACTTTATTCTTTCCTTTAGAGATCAGCTACACATTTGAAGCAGAAAATGAGAGAAGGCAGTTAGGCCTGCCCTCTAGAGTACGGTTTAAAGACCATCTGTCGGATCAGTTTACTGCAACTACAGTGCTAAGGGGACAGAATTCAAGAGAGTGTGTGTCGACCAGGCTTGTGCTGCAGGTAAGGCACAGTGGTTTTCCTTCAYTGGACACATGTGAAGCAAAGGTCAGCTTTGCTTGTGGTCTCACAGTATTTTGATATATAATTGAAAAGTTGCATGCARTATAAACCAACTGTAGCTAAATAAGCACCTTGCCATTCCCTGCACACATGTTGCTTCCTTCCCTAGCTCTTCTTCTAAAGCATGAATAGAAGCTTCAGCTCCTGCTGTGTACCCTGCAGGTCAAAAGAGCTGACCTAATTTGGAAGAATGGAGAGGGAATTAATGCCAAATCTGAGAGCTGTYGGAAGACATGGAAGTAGATGATGTAGAATTTAATGGTGTGAGTGGAGAGGAAAGGAGCTTTCACACACAGCTTTTGGAGGGGATGAATGGCAGGACAAGAAAGCTTTGCACATACTTTGTGATTTGTTGCTGTGCTGTCCCTGAAAGGAGACATTGCTGCAAAAGCTGATGAAATTCTCTATTGCCCTCCAGTATTCCTCATGGCTACAGGGAATAAAAAGCCTGGCTCTAAGGAATAGGGAGGAATTGTGTCATTTTAATACTGTAATGTGCATTTTTCCTGCCTGAGTTACTTTCTGTTATTCTTAGTAATTCTTCTGTGAGACATATCACACCAGGAAGCTAGGAAAAAAAGAAGGTAGTAGTTTTAAGATCCTTGTGTTCTTGCATGTTGTTACAAAATGCTGGAATTCCCTGTAGTGAATAGTTTTAATATTGCAAAATATATCAAGAGAGATTTAGCTTCAGAACGCGTTACAGAGTGTGTGTGAAAAGCTAGAACACACATTCTGTGTGTTTGGTGTTCGGTTTCTCTTCTTCTCTACACTGTGCACTAACTATGCCATTTAAAATATTTGGACAGGAGAAAATTAAAGATAAGCTACGTCCCATCCCTGTGTCAGTCAGTGTGAAAATTGCTGGSCTGGAGTCTAGCTCGCCATCCGTAAGGAAAGAAGGAGCCCTTCCGGATCTTATCCCAATCCTAAACTCGGATGAATTGGAAACAAAGACCACAAAAGTAAGCCTTTCCTTAGAGCATTGAGCATGTTTCCAAGAAATAAGTACTTTATGTGGTGGCTGATTTTTAGAGAATATAGAAAACTAAATTATGATCAAAGGAAGTACTGGTGGCACTGGGCTTAGGACTATCAGTTTATGTTTTGTTTTGTAARTGTTATGAACTTGGTCCTTTATTACTCTAGTTTTGCCTCCAGGGAGATGAAGTTCTCACGTAGAAGGGCAAACCACCAAGTTTTATCTAACTTTGCCTTTTAATCACAGTTGTGGTTTTCATTTACTAGCAGTAGTCTGTATGTCTCACACAGAAAAATTCTCCTGACTTCCCTGTGCCAGAAATGGAGTCAGACTAACATCTTTTTTTACCCTGTAAAAAAGCTCCCTCCCTTCCATCATTTGGCYTGTATTAAAAATGCTTTGTTTGTATTTAGGTGGAATTCTTGAAGGAAGGATGTGGAGAAGACAATGAATGTCACAGCAATCTAAAACTTCAGTACCGATTTTGTACTAGAGAAGGAAATGAAGACAGATTTACCTATTTACCAATGTAAGCCTTGACTGATGCATTGCTAAAATTGAAGTTTAAGATGACTTTTAGGAGAGAGTTTTGTTGTTGTCTTAAAGAGCCTGGCTGTGTCAGTCTAGCTACAGGAGGCCTGATCTGTCAGGGCGCAGATCGCAGACACAGGTCAGCCTGTTGAAGGAAAGTGGATGGCACAGAATTGTATGGATACAAAGAGGCCATAACCACGTGGTCTTAGGCCAAAAATCTCTAACCATTAGAGATTTAGAAGTTCTAAAGCAGCTTTGCAATGATTTATTGCCTCTGCTCTTGGTAACCACTTTTGAGAACAAATTTGATAGTAAACAGGACAAAACATTACGCCAAATATTGTACCAAAGARCTGCATGACTTGAGTTAGTGCAGTAGCCTTAGACAAGCAGTTACAGAGAAGTGCACAGAGAAGGTGTTTCCCTATAAACACACACACAATCCTGATCTCGTCTTTCCTTCTGGGAAGACCAGACCTCCTAGAGAGGAGGGATAAACCCCAACCAAGTGTGTTTACTGACCACAAGCAATTGGCCTGGAGCAGTGCGTAGCACAGTCTGGCCTGGAAGCCAGGAACACATAGACCTTAAATGGGGCACTAGGTGTGTTCAGAGAGGATTCATTATTGTTAAACATGATGGCAGAGATGTCAGTGCTAGTTCAGAAATATGACAGACTCTTAATTGCTTGAGAGGTGGGTTGGTAAATCTTAACCTGTAAACTGCTGGCCATTGTTGCAGTGAAATAAAAACAAAACAAAAAAAAAATTCTGTTTATGATCTTATTGTAGTAGGAATAGGAATTCTATTTGGGTAGATCTCAGTAAGAAGAAAACTTTTATGTACTTTTGTTTTCCTAATGCACAAAAATATGTATATTCTCTTTCTGTAGTGAAAATGACATGCCAGTGCTTGTTCTAAAAGATCAGAAGGATATTGCTCTGGAAATAACAGTGACAAATAATCCATCTGATGCAAAAAATCCACAGAAAGATGGTGAAGATGCGTATGAAGCTAAACTAATTGCAACTTTTCCAGATAGTCTGACTTACTCTGCCTTCAGGGAGATGAAGGGTTATCCTGTAAGTATTTTTAAGAGARAATATACTCAAATTTAAAAATATTTTAGCCTGTTTTCACTTCTAAATGTGTTCCATTAATTCAGGAAAAGCAGCTGACCTGTGGTGCTAACCAAAATGGCTCTCAAGCAGAGTGTGAGCTTGGAAATCCTTTCAAGAGAAATTCCAATGTAAGTTGTGCCTGTTTAACTCAAGTTACAAAACCTGCTTCCCAGCTGCACTCTTCCACATTTTATGGGTGTCCTATCTGCGTACGTTTCTGTGTGTGCAGGGGGGTGGACTAGATGACCTCTGGAGGTCCCTTCCAACCTTAAGTATTCTATGATCTGGGACGTTGATTTGGATCTGTCTTTGTTAGTATTTGAACATGAYGGTGTATTTCTGTAATATTGTATATAGTAATACTTTCTATACAATATTTACGTATTGCATGGATTTTCTTTCTTGTTTAGGTAACCTTTTATCTCATCTTAAGTACCTCTAAAGTTAATGTTGATACCACAGACTTGGACATTAATCTGAAGTTGGAAACGTAAGAAATTTTGGGGGGTGTGTGTGGGGCGATGGTGGTAGTCTGCGCATGTGCATGCCTGCAGAGCTTCCATAAATACTATAAAACATTTTGAATTAATTTGTTTGGTTCATAAAGGCAATTTAACAGTAATGTAAAAGCTGCTGAAATTGTAAAATTAAACAGGATTGTTTCCTTTTCATTGTAGAACAAGCACTCAAGTTAATTCGACTCCAATTACTGCTAGTGCTAAAGTGGTTATTGAACTGCTTTTATCACTCACTGGGTAAGTGCTTGTAGCACAACAAATGAGGGCGTTGGGGGAGAGGCAGGAGGGCAAAGCACCTTCCTGCTGCCTTCATTAAACCTGCTTGTTCTCTGTGTGTCCTGCTGCACGCGGCCAGCGTGGCTAACCCTTCGCAGGTCTACTTCGGAGGCAGCATCCGGGGCGAGAGCGCCATGAAGTCTGAAGACAATATTGGAAACCTCATAGAGTATGACTTCAGAGTGAGTAACGTGACTCATGCCTTTAATCAATTAATGGTTTCTCTCTTTATAAATAATTCAAAAAGTTAGAAATGATTTAAGGCAATGTGGAAGCAGTTAGAATATCTATTTTGACCTTGCTCTCAAAAACAGTAATGCTAAGAAAGCAAAACCAGGTTGTCAAACAGTTCCCAAGCTACTAGAGGACTTTAAATGTCAGAGTTCCTCTGAAAGTTGAAATTCCTCTCAGTTTTGCAACTGAATGATTTGTTAACTCTGAAGAGTTGGTGCTGTTTCCTATGAGAATTGCGTTTTATAAATCTGTGGCTTATCATACTTGTTGTGGAATTTTCGTCCTTACATGTTTATGTGCTGTATCCTAGTTGCTGTCCAAATGTGCTGCTTTTAGTGTAYGGTTTGTCCTTATGCTGTATTATAGACTGTCTTCCAGCAGCTTTTAAATTTCCTGTTAGCCGAATGCTTAAAACTTGTCAAAGTCAAGAACCTTTCTTTTTGAAAAGAAAATCCCTTTAATCCAGATCTCACAGTTTAAAGAATGTCTGTTTCAACAGGTAACTAATTTGGGTCGACCACTTAAAACATTTGGCACAGCTTCTCTGGACATTCAGTGGCCAAAAGAAATTAGTAATGGCAAATGGCTGCTTTACTTGATGAAAATAGATTCCAAAGGCTTGGAAAAGGTCTCCTGTCAACCCCAGAATGAAATCAATTATTTGCATCTTACGGTATGTTACCCAGTTTTCTCATGTTGATGAATTAGTACATTGAAGCATCCCAGCACGCAACAGAAGAGCCTAAATGCCCTTCTGCAGAATAAACTGAGAACTACTCTAGCTATAGCACTAAACTATTCTAACATCAAGACTTTTTTTTTTTCTTTTGAGGAATCCCATAACTCAAGGAGGAAACGTGAGGTTGCAGAGAAGCAGATTATAGACAGCAAAACATTTTCTTTGTTCTCAGAAAGAAAATACAAGACACTGGTAAGCATATTACACTCCTTATAGAGCTGTGTCAGTTTTGCAGAGTGCAATAAGGGATCCTACTTTGCTTTGTTTCCATCTTAATTTTCAAATACATTCATTCAAATACATCCATTTTATATTCTGATGAAAGAGGAATAGGGAAGCATTTCTGTATAGTTAGTATAGTTACCTATATTTAACTAAAGTATCACCATCCTATTTTCCCGTTGCTTTAAAACCAAGAAGAATTGTTCCTTGCACATAAAGAAGATGCATGTCATCCAATTAACATTATTAAAGAGCCTCAACGCCTAGGGATTCTGTAGTCACGTTGCAGGGAGGGGGGTTTGTGAGCAAGCTGTTATTGCAGGACTGCAACGTGAACGCGCGCTGTGTGGATATCAAGTGCCCGCTGAACGGTTTGGACAGCAAGGCCTCCATCGTGCTGCGCTCCAGGCTGTGGAACAGCACTTTCTTAGAAGTAAGTCTGCTCGCCTGCCGTGTTTGAGAATCCTAGTTCCTTCCTGTTCGGTYTCTGATGTGCCTGTGGTTTTCTTGAAACAGGAATACTCCAAAATGAACTACCTAGACATTCTTGTTCGGGCTTCAATCAGCGTTCCTGCTGCAGCTAAGAATGTTAAACTCACAAATGAAGTTGCACAGGTAGGCTCAGCATCCAGCGCCAACTGCGTGTGCTTGTGGTGATCACATTTCCAGCTGACCGGGAAAGAGTGGAGAAAATGAAACATTTTGAAACRAAAGGAGCTGTAGGCTACATCTTTAGCTGCCTTTTGAATTATYGATCCTTTATGCCTTTAGTCATGTGGAAAGAATTAACTAGCACACTCAAATGTGATCAGTCTTTCCTAGAAAATCACTGGTTTGGATTAGATAAACAGAGAGGCTTTTGAAATGCTCTCRCCATCATCTTCCTGTGTTTTCTTTAGGTGCGTGTTACTGTCTTCCCTGCCAAAACAGTAGCACTTTATACAGGGGTGCCTTGGTGGATCATCTTAGTGGCAATTCTCGCTGGAATACTGATGCTTGCACTATTGGTATTCTTACTGTGGAAGGTAAGTTTTTATTTATCTTGGTTTACATTTCACATTTCTTAATTTAAAAATGACAAGGGAGGAAACTAGTTAACCAACTGGTTTATGATTTTGTAGTTGAGACATGAAACAAAAAGCAAAACTGTGGAAAACGTATGCTATCTTTTCAATTTYATAACATTTGGTATGAAAATGATCACATAGGAACACGTTACTCTTGTATCATGACATTTTTCTGTTTCCAGAGCTTCAAAAGGAAATGTTTTGAGTTCTAGTCAAAACTTAGACAAGTTCCCARAGCCTGTAGTTACTTTGTTATGGATACAGCTACTTGGGGCATCTTCAATTAGATGTAAAGGTGTTTCTGTGTTGTGAACTATCTACAGATGAGTAGCTTTGCAGTTGACTTCTCATCATATAAGAATCACTGTAAAATGGCTCGTAGATTAAGATAATACCTCAAAAGCTACAGAAGTAACACGTGGCCAAGTATGCTGGCTAAGTTCTTTAGTATTGGCTTGTTATCTTAAAAACCTTAATGGAATAAATAAATGTTTAAAACAAAAGGTTAACAATTTGCAAATGAAAAATCAAGTAGCTGTTTTTCTTGAAAGCTTTGGCAGTTTCTGCTTGTTGCTAGAAAATAGCAGAGTGCAGGTTGTTAAGAGGTGAAGAGGAATCTCCCACCTGGCGGTCACTTACTCTCTTGTGGAGAAACGGATGCAGTTGGCTTCACTAGGAGCTACAACCTTACAGAATAATCTCAGCTTCTTTTCAAAAAATGCCCAGCTCCTGTCTGCAGCTCTCTTTGAATTACACAGAATAACACCTTCAAGAAAATGAGTTTTTTATTGCACATAGATATGCACAGATGTAGAATATTTTGGTGACAAACCCTGAGCCATCCTGTGAAGAACAAAGATGGTGCTTCAGAGGCAGCTACGTGATGGGGTTTGATGGAGCATTTCTCCCCGGAGCTGTAGCTTACATTTTGCCATTTCAGTAGCACAGGCCAGGCAGTAACCTTGCACATCTCGTGGTGCAGCTGCCTTGTGCACAGGTCTATGAACTCATTTCTATACAGATTTTTTACTGCTCTTTGCAGCCTTAGTTACTGTGAACATACTGCAGTGTAAAAGCAAGCAAACAAAAAACATGAAAAAATGCACAAATTTGTCAAAAAGAAACCCCTGAGGTGAATTCTTAATCTCAGGCTATTCTATGATTTTACAGATTAGATCAGTTCAACAAGTTCTGTAAATCTAGAAGCAGTTGTGATTTTTCTTGTGTGTGGTTTTTTTCTGTCTTTTGTTGTTGGTTTTTTTTTTTTTTTT